TATGCCAAAAATCATTAGGATATTAAGTAAAAATAATGTTCCATCAAGATATTTTGTAAATTTATTACCATAAATATATCAAAACTTAATTTTTGATTAGTAATATGCATTGCTTAGAACTTCATTTGGACAACTTTAAAAGCGATATTTAGATTTTTTTGCACCCTCAGATTCCAGATTTTCAAATAGTTGTATCTCTGCCAAATATTGTCCTATCCTAACAAACCATACATCAATGGAAAGCTCATTTATTCAGCTTTCAGATTATGCATAAATCTCAATTTCAAATAATTTAGCCTTATGACTGGTTTTGTGGTCCAGGGTCACATTTGTCTTTCAAATGTAGTGAAGTTAAAGTCATAAGTTTCCAGAAAAAATAATACTCACGTAAAGTACAGATATTTAAAAAGTGTGCTTAAGTACAGTACTCAAGTAACTGTACTTCAGTACAGTGCGGCTCTGCGAGCGTGTTCTGAGTGTGTTTGTGTGTGTCAGCTGGACAGGCTGGTGGAGAAGCAGCGGGAGACCTACAGACGGATGCTGGAGCAGCTGCTGCTGGTGGAGCGAGCTCACAGACAGACGCTCCACCGCCTCGAGGACGAGAAGAGGAACCACAGCGACTTCATGAGGAAGAGCGACGAGTTCACCGGCCTGCTGGAGCAGGAGAGAGAGAGGTCAGAGCTCAGCTTTTTATCTGTCATGTAGACCAAAGTATATCCTTCGGTTTAGACACAAACGGTTAGTGTATTCATACAGTCAAAGACAATAGCATGTGTGAACACATGAAGCATGCGCACTAGAGAGTGTCTTCATCCAGTCTAGAGACTGAACCAGAATCAGAATCAGAATCAGTCAAGTCAAGTCAAGTCAAGTCAAGTCAAGTCAAGTCACCTTTATTTATATAGCGCTTTTAACAATACAGATTGTGTCAAAGCATAATGAAGAGCACTTTTAGATCTGGACAGCACATCTTCTTTAACACAGTTACATCTGTACACCACCTCTCATTGATGTAAAAGCATGTCCCGCCGCCGCGCGATTTCCCCGTTGATTCTGCGTCGCGGTCCGCTCTGAACAGCTGAAAGCCCGGGAGACTCAACGCGCTGTCCGGAATGGCGTCTTTCAGCCAGGTTTCCGTGAAACACAGAGCAGCAGAGTTTGAAAAATCCTTATTTGTCCGGGAGAGCAGAAGGAGTTCGTCCGTTTTGTTGGGTAGAGAGCGGAGATTTGCCAGATGGATGCTTGGCAACGGCGTCCTGAATCCGCGCTGCCTGAGCTTCACGAGCGCGCCGGCTCGCTTCCCCCGTCTGCGCGTCCTGAAGCGGTTGATCAGCGCTGCAGCTCCCCCGACTACAATGTCCAGCAAAACATCAGAATAATCGAAAACCGGTGAAATATCGGGTGGTGTGTACTTCCGAATGTCCAGCAATTCGTCTCTGGTGAAACTGATTGCAGGGATATAACTAAAGACAGGACAAACTAACAAAAACATTAAAACAACTGCGGAGCACGCCACGGAGGCAGCCATCAGCGTCGGCGCCATCGCGAAAAATTCTCACCACTGTCCACTGTCATCATAGTCAAACAGACAAACAAGGGATTGTGGGTTGAAGGATACTTGCATAAAATAATATGAAAAGTTTATATTACATTTTTATTTTTTGTAACAGTGTTTTGAATTGATCTCACTAGTGTTCTCTAGTCAGTGTATTTGACAGGTTTGTGTGCCATCTGAGGCCAAAGTTTGAGTCTGACAAAAGAGAACATGTTTTTGACAAAAATGTTTGACTTTGAGCTGGAAGTTTGCACGAGTTGGTCTGTAGTTTTGACTTTTGAGAGTGTGTTTATAGTTGTGAGAAAATGGTGAATTGTTTCATGAATTGTGTGTCAGCTGTAATTAATTTTTTGAACTGTAATGAATTTTAATTTGTTTTAAATGCTTTTATTTTAACATTATTTCAATTTAGCATTTTTATCATTTAATTCATTTTAGTAAGTGTTTTAACTTGTTTTATTTTTAAACTAGGCTATTTTATTTAAATGTATAAATGTGCTATTTTTATGATTTAATACATTTCAGTTGATTTTAATAATGTTTTTATTTTAACATTATTTTAATTTCACATTTTTATCATTTATTTAATTTTTAGTAAGTTTTAATTTGATTTTAGAATTATTTATAAATTTTTTTAATTGGCATTTTTCTGATTTAATGAATATTGCTGTGTGGATGTGGTGTGTAATTCACCACGACTCTGGCTGAAGTGATCGTGTTATCAACGTTTGGTTGTTTGGTTTGGTGTGAATGAGTGATGCAGCCGCTGGATTAATGTGTGTGCGTGCGTGTGTGTGTGTGTGTGTGCGTGCGTGTGTGAGTGCGTGTGTGAGTGCGTGTGTGTGTGAGTGTGTGTGTGTCACTTTGTGTGTGTGTGTGTGTGTGAGTGCGTGTGAGAGTGCGTGTGTGAGTGCGTGTGTGAGTGCGTGTGTGAGTGCGTGTGTGAGTGCGTGTGTGAGTGCGTGTGTGAGTGCGTGTGTGAGTGCGTGTGTGAGTGCGTGTGTGAGTGCGTGTGTGAGTGCGTGTGTGAGTGCGTGTGTGAGTGCGTGTGTGAGTGCGTGTGTGAGTGCGTGTGTGAGTGCGTGTGTGAGTGCGTGTGTGAGTGCGTGTGTGAGTGCGTGTGTGAGTGCGTGTGTGAGTGCGTGTGTGAGTGCGTGTGTGAGTGCGTGTGTGAGTGCGTGTGTGAGTGCGTGTGTGAGTGCGTGTGTGAGTGCGTGTGTGAGTGCGTGTGTGAGTGCGTGTGTGAGTGCGTGTGTGAGTGCGTGTGTGAGTGCGTGTGTGAGTGCGTGTGTGAGTGCGTGTGTGAGTGCGTGTGTGAGTGCGTGTGTGAGTGCGTGTGTGAGTGCGTGTGTGAGTGCGTGTGTGAGTGCGTGTGTGAGTGCGTGTGTGAGTGCGTGTGTGAGTGCGTGTGTGAGTGCGTGTGTGAGTGCGTGTGTGAGTGCGTGTGTGAGTGCGTGTGTGAGTGCGTGTGTGAGTGCGTGTGTGAGTGCGTGTGTGAGTGCGTGTGTGAGTGCGTGTGTGAGTGCGTGTGTGAGTGCGTGTGTGAGTGCGTGTGTGAGTGCGTGTGTGAGTGCGTGTGTGAGTGCGTGTGTGAGTGCGTGTGTGAGTGCGTGTGTGAGTGCGTGTGTGAGTGCGTGTGTGAGTGCGTGTGTGAGTGCGTGTGTGAGTGCGTGTGTGAGTGCGTGTGTGAGTGCGTGTGTGAGTGCGTGTGTGAGTGCGTGTGTGAGTGCGTGTGTGAGTGCGTGTGTGAGTGCGTGTGTGAGTGCGTGTGTGAGTGCGTGTGTGAGTGCGTGTGTGAGTGCGTGTGTGAGTGCGTGTGTGAGTGCGTGTGTGAGTGCGTGTGTGTGTGTGTGTGTGTGAGTGAGAGTGTGTGTGTGTGTGTGTGTGTGAGTGAGAGAGTGAGTGTGTGAGAGAGTGAGTGAGTGTGTGAGTGAGTGAGTGAGTGAGTGAGTGAGTGAGTGAGTGAGTGAGTGAGTGAGTGAGTGAGTGAGTGAGTGAGTGAGTGAGTGAGTGAGTGAGTGAGTGAGTGAGTGAGTGAGTGAGTGAGTGAGTGAGTGAGTGAGTGAGTGAGTGAGTGAGTGAGTGAGTGAGTGAGTGAGTGAGTGAGTGAGTGAGTGAGTGAGTGAGTGAGTGAGTGAGTGAGTGAGTGAGTGAGTGAGTGAGTGAGTGAGTGAGTGAGTGAGTGAGTGAGTGAGTGAGTGAGTGAGTGAGTGAGTGAGTGAGTGAGTGAGTGAGTGAGTGAGTGAGTGAGTGAGTGAGTGAGTGAGTGTGTGTGTGAGTGAGTGAGTGTGTGTGTGTGTGTGAGTGAGTGAGTCTGTGTGTGTGTGTCTCACTGTGTGTGTGAGTGTGTGTGTGTTTAACTGTGGCACTGATCTCTGACAGTGTTTCCTGTGGCTCTGTGCCGTTTGCAGTGGTTTATTCAGATAATCACGACTCATTAAACAGTGACTCGTTGTTTAAACGGATCACGATACAGTTTCTGTTTGTCAGTCAGGAAAGGAAGGTTTTTCTCCACACGTCTCTAGAGAGCGTACGAGATGCATGAGTGTTTTAATTGTTTGTTTGTTTATGTTTTCAGATCTCTGCGTGTTGATCTGTTGTTGCAGGATTCATTGTAGCAGCATGACATAATTTCCTCTCTGGCGTGTGCACACATTACATACACACGCGAGTATGTGCAGCAGAACACGTCTGTCTCTGTGTCTCATCATGTTCGATCGGGACGTTCCAGTCTCAGCCCAGATTGTGAATGAGGAACCGAACTGATCCGTCCAGATTGGACCGAGATCTGAGTCCAAACACTCACTTTATATCCTGCCAGAGACATATTTAGCTAATGATGTTTCCATTTTCATTGCCTTACAAGGCTGAAAATAAGCCGCTCTGATAATATATCCAGCAGCAGAAATAGAGCGGCCCGGTGCCTTTTTAAAGAAGGAATCGAATGCTGGTGTGAGTAAAAATATCCTGCGGGATTCAGACGGATTCACACTCGCTGGTCTTTCCAAAGCCAGTTAAATAAAGCAGGACGAGGCTCTCATTCTGGCTAAACTTATGTATATGCGTTTCACAAAATGCATTGTTTCAAAGCAGCTTTACAGAAAATCCTGATGTTAATGTTTATAATACCTTATTATCTTCATGTTTTGCAGTTTTTTCAACAGCTTACACACATTTTCAAAACTCTGCCTCTTTTTTTCATAACTTTACACACAAATCCAAGAATTGCTCACAAAATGCAAAAAGCCTCTCATCTCTTGCAAAATGAAGCGCTGCATTCAAAATATCACAAACACATCTCAAAAGCTAACATTTGCAAACACCTTTGCCATAATATTAATTCCTGTTAGATTTGTGTGTGTTACATAGAGAACTGTGTGTTGTGTTTTGCAAAAAGTGTTTTATGAAATTGAAAACTGAGTCAAAGACAGAATTAGTGTCTGGTTTTGTAGATTTGGTGTGTGCTTCTGCTGTTTGAGTGTCAGCTTTCAGAAACTGTGACAAGTGAAGATTCTGTGTGTAAGCAGCTGAAAAAAACTGTATTGTCACATTTATCCAACTAGAGAATTTGAATTTGTTGAAAATTAGAATTTGTTATTTGGTGATGTGCATAACAATGACAAAAAATTACAAAAATGTAACTAAAGCTAAGATTAAAATGGAAATAGAAAATATAATAAAATCTATTTGAAAATATAAAAAAACTAACTTGCTAACTAACTTAAAAAAAAATTAAAACCTTAAATTTTTAAGTCTAATCAACTTAAATTACATTAAACCAACAAAAAAAAAAAAAAGAAAAATCAAGTTGAATTTCATCTAACTAATAAAAAAGTTGAAGTTGCACTTATTTTGTTGTGTTAAAGTGATGTAAAAACATCAGTTGTGCTGACCGTTACAGTGAGGTTTGCTGCGGTCAGAGAGCAGAAGATCTGGGTGTAACAAAGTTCTTAGTCACGGGAAGAAGGAGGCGGGAACCGGCGAACATTCAAATAAACTTTAATAATAAAATAAACACAAAATAGCGCGACAGCCCCTCACGGACGACTGCCGCGCACAAACGAAACCAAAACACAAAATAAAATCCAAGCCTGGTCCTCTCTCGTCTTTCCCTGTCGT